ATACTCTGCTACCACGCAAAACTGGTCTAATTAGACCATGTATACAAATGTATAGCTCAGTGAAGCTTCAGTCATATTTCTTCACCGAGTACAGGTTGTTACGTGCTGGCAAGCCACTGTCTGCGCTATGAGCCCGCGGGTCCATCAACGAACTTTCTAGCCACCTTTTTACGACATGTCTTCTTACTTATGTCTTGGTCGCACAAGAATTTTGCAGGATAGGATAGTCAGTATGGTTCAGTCAAACGTATTGTAATCGATAAGGAGTGCATTTGCTGCGCTGTCTACAATCTCGACGATGAGCTATATGCAACTTGTACGTGTCCATTGCTTTTTCTACGCTAACGTAAGGCCTGCAAAGGCTACAGTAGGCACACTACAAGGTCGTGTGCGAATTCGGTACAAAACCCGGAGCTTTCCGCTCACCGTACGATGGTCGGCCGTTCCGTTAGCCGGTACTATCACCGTCAGGACCAACGCCGTCATCATCCGTCATCGTGGCACGTTCTGGTCCCGAGGAGGTGGTCGAAGTCGTGCTCGAGGCGGAATGCGCAGTCGTGGCCGTTGTGCTCGTCGTCGATGCATTTGAAGAGTTCCTCGATGTGGTTGTGCTAACTGGAGCAGTAAGCCCATTCGCTGCCGTGGGGTGCTCCAACATGGTCCGAGTCGCGTGCTCGGAGGCCGATGAAGATGTGTTGGTAGACGTTGAAGTAGAGTTCGAAGATGTCGTCGAGGCTTCGCTCGACACCGTCGCACTGATTGGCGCTCGAGGTGTCGTTGCAGGAACTGCATTGAGTGGTCCCAGATCCGATGCAAACCCGAGCGGCGCCGCGCTCCTCGAAGCGGTGCACGATGTCCGAGCAAACGGCGGCTGGTTGCCTTGGCCCGCACTCCCCGACGGCACCAAGTCCTTGATCTTGATGCCCTTGTCCTTGAGGTCGGTCAGCACCGTGCGCACGTCGATAGCAGCGTTGGCACACCCACCGCAGTGATGGATTGCCACCACCAAATTGTCTCTCGGTGAGAGGATCGGCGACCCCGAGGACCCTTCTCGCGTGTCTGCGTAGTGTCCCACCTGGTCGGCTCCACATATCCCTTCTTCATTGACACTGTGAATCGTCGCATCAGCTCCGCCGTCGACTTTGCTCGCAATGCGCTTTGCAAAGCCCGAGGGGTGTTGCGGCACGTAGATCGTCTCGTTCAGCACCGGTCCCGACTCGCGCAGCTGGAGATACCCGTACGACGAGAGATCGACGCAGTTCGGCAGCTTCAACACCGAGTAGTCGATCTCTTTGCTTCCGTAGATATAGGTCGCCGTCGTTGCCACCACTTGTCCAGGGCAGCCAAGACCTTTCTTGCACTCTTCACGGCACGTGGAGCTCTCGGCGGCGAACTCAATGTCCGTGTTCATGGCCCATTCGGGGTTTTCGTAGCAGTGTTGGTTCGTAAACATGTGCCCCTCGCTGCCTGCCAGCCACCCGGTGCACAGATAAGTGCCGTTGATGAGTAGACGAGCAATGGCTTGGGACTTTTCGTAAGCTTGAGGCATTTGCCTAGCCAAAGTCGAGCCTGGTGCATAGCATTTGACTGGAGAGGACTGGTCGCCATCGCCGCATACCGATTCGTGGGGTACGGTGGGAAACCCACGGGAAAACCCAGTGACGCGGTAGCCCTGGCCTGATGTGGGCACCCCGACCGAGTTGTAAGTGATCGTGACAGAGGTGCCTGGAACGAAGCTAGCAACGAACGTTCCGCTTTGGTCGCGACCTCGACCCGTGTACGTGTGCGAGACCGCTATGTCATCATCCGGGGAGCTGATCACCACGGAGTCCCCGTCCGGCAGGTCGAATCCAGCAAAGTGGACGGCGATATACGACGCGAGGTCGTAGGAGATATCGTCCTCACAAGACTCGCCGGCCTCGACGTGAAGGCTCCAGGGCTCCGTTGTACCGACGATGGCAATGCCTTTGTCTGTGTATTTGGCTCCCGTGGCAACTGGAAGCGTCAGGAACAGGACGAAGAGCGGGTGAAGAAGTTGTACCATCTTGGAAGGTAACTACCTAACTGCTCGTGCTACTTGAGGACGAATTGGAAAGTGAACAAAGGAGGAGGACGGACTCCGGGCTACAGACCCCACGCACTGGTGCGAACAGCGGTGCAACAACATTACTTACTTGATCGCTCTACTTTAAATCGCTTTGCTCGACGATGCAAAGTGCCGATGTCGTGGACACGACGGGCGATCACTGCAGACTCGGCGGCAACTGACAGAGTGGTCAGTTCGAAGTCGAAAAGAGCTGATTTATTGCGGTGCGTGAGCAACCGCCAAGTTATCGTCAGCAGTGCCAGTTGTTGGGTGACGGTTGCACTGGCGAGGAGAAAGAGGTGCAAGTGATGTTTTTTTGCGTCACAGCAACCGCTACGACGTGCTCAGGACTTTCGCTACAAACGGGCACGTGTCCACTCAAAACTGCTCCACGTGTGTGTGTGTGTGAAGGTCAAACATGGACAGCACTAATCGCTAGGGTTGACTTGCGACTACAGACACTTGGAAGTCGATCACATCTTGGCTGCTTTTACCGAGAGAGAAAAGTCTATGAAGAAAGGTCACTTGACCTTTTCAAACCAAAGAGATTTCGGTGCTGGAAGATCTGCGCGCGGGACCACGGCACAGTATCCGGAGGCCCTCTCGGTGGAATGCATGTTGGCAGCTCCCATTTGTTAATCCGAAGATATCGGGCTTCTGCTCTTTTTAGACATGTTCGCTGCAGAGGCTTTGCACTTTTGCTTCGTGCGCACCAACATGTCCAATCAACCAGTACAGCAGTGGTCGAACATTCGTCTGAATAGCTGTTTCTGTCGCAGGATCTACAGCAAGTGTTGGCAGCTACATCGTCTGTCGACAGACGCTGACAGTCGACAGTCGCTCTTGAGAAACATCATGTAGCTGACTGAATTGAGTCAAGATTGCGAATGCCACATGGCGTATCTCACGACAGACTGTTCCCCCACCTCTAACACCCCCAATGAAGTTGTCAATCCAGCGACGCGGGGTGATGCGTCGTTGTCGGTCGCAGTGGTCTAACAAGTAACGTGTAGCGCACCTCTTCCGCAACTCACACTGCTACTTCTCGCAAGCAATCGTCAAGTAAGCTTGCAACGTAAAACGAGTTGATTGTTCATGATGAACTCGTTGCAAGATGTAGCGAACATCCGCTTCCAGTGGTGGTGTTTCGATGTCCATCGTACGACCAGCCGCTCTCAATGGACATACATGGGTATCCGCCCATCCGCCTCTCCCTCTAAGTGCCAGAAGCGTCATCCTGACCTCTTTCGTTTCGAGACGTATGAGTCGTGAGAGCTCATATGTGCATTTTTGCAAACGGGAAATGCGTCCAAACGTGGGTTGGATCACCAAAGAAGGACATTTTGATGGAAAGGAAAACGCACAAAATGTGCCGCAGTTTCGCTGTGCAAAATTTAAAATTGCGGAGAAACGGCCAAGAGCGAAGCACAAGCGAGCGAGTTACAGGCGATACAACCTGGCTGGTGAACACCGGATACCTACCAGATATCTACACTTGCACACCTTGTGTCGCGGATACCTTCCGTGACGACTCAACTAGCTTTTCGTTTCTTGCTGCAACTGTACTGCATGTAGGACCTTGGACAGTGACGTTGCAATGAATCTTGAACTCGATCGCACTCAATCGGAGTTTGAATGTCTAGCACGAGTCCATGCAACGTCACGTCAAAAGGTAGCCCGAGAATATTTTGGTGCGAGCGGTAACGGAAAAAAGAAGCCAGGTCGAGACCATCTCGCAGTTATGCAATAGGAGGATCAAAGCCGCATCAGCCACAAGAGACGCAACTGTGCTGTCCACACGGTAAGTTGGGGATCTCATACAAGCATAAGGCGCTACATCATGCAATGGACGAGCAGTGAAACCCTCCCCTGTCTGCCGTAGCCATGACTCTGTCTATCTTCTTCTTCATCACCATCACCAAGTCATCCATCGACTTAGCTTTTGCAGGTGGAAATGGCGCACGTCTGATTACAAATTCCTTGTCAGTACTTCGATTGTAGAGTACTGCATCACACGAGCACGATAGCCAAGCGAATACGAAGCAGTCGTGTTGATTGGCTTTTCAGCTTCGTGAAATAGCAAGAATAATAATAATAAGAGCGTGGTGGCGTCCATTGTCATTCATCCTGTAGCAGTGGGTCGTTCGCATCCATTGCACGTCTAGCTTTGCAATCTTCTAATGACCGATGTGGTAAGTGCACCTTTCCCGTGCTTTTGCATACAAATTTGACACGTGCAATTTACAGTGACATTAGTGCAACGCTTTGCATGTTCCAGTGTTTTCCATCAGTAATGGTCACACGACAGCTTGGAAATCGCAATTGCCATACAGCAAACCGAATTGTGGGTAGCGCCAAAGACTTGCAGTTCGTTTGCACGCTTTTCATTGAGGTACACCGTGTCCTTTACGTCTACCTAAGGATCACCTACGTCCGTTTTGCCGGCCGCCTCTTCATCGATCGACGGCTTGTTGGTGCGCCGCTGCCTCAAGGGTCACCCTAGCCGGCAGCCAATAGAGTATCGCAAGTACACTTGGGTGAGAACGGTCGCCAACGTGACGACGCGTGGATCAGAAGCGGTGCTAGCTTTTTCGCGTATTTTTCGCGGTGAACGTTCGCGCTGTCGATATGACTGGAGGGAGCTGTCGCTGGAGTGGTGACAGTGGCGAGACTAAAAAGAAGGAAACGAGTGGGTTGCGTCTGTAAATCTCGATTACGCCGATCAACACGTCAACTCCGGACCCCGCACTAACACCGCGAAACGTAATCATCTCGAGACAAGAGTCTGCGCGTAGGCGACCTGCTGTCCGAGGACTAGTGCTACCTAGTCCATAAGGTAGTCTTCGTTGCGGTAAGTTGTTGGCCAGCGATAAGATATAGTGGGTCGTTCGCGCACCTAAATATACCTCACATTCTCACTCACTCGAAACCGCGTATCCCGCATTGTCAATCCACGCAACTTCAAGTTTGCTTAGCGTGGTGATGTTTGCGTGATTTACGTATAGATTCCAATTTGATCTATCGACCATGGACTCCTATCTAGTGTCCCTTTCCCTCGTAGAAAGCTCGTCTCGATCGCATCCACCTTTCCCCCGCTGTAGTGTAGGTGAGTATGCACCCCAGCAGCTTACCGTGTCATCAGCGTAAAACCAACTACAATGTAAGTAGTGCAGGTTATTCATGCCATATTCAATGCAGGCCACTCAGACTGTAGTCAGTGCAGGAGAAACTCGCCCGTTACAATTCTGCTCATCCGCATATTGCAGATGTAACTTGTGCGGGCGTCAATAAAGCGGGTGTGCACATACAATGCAAATGAAGAATGAATAGCGCATTAGGTGAGACTTTGTCAGCAACACACAATGCAATGGCCTCTGAGAAGCCGGTGAAGATACTGACGTGATCGTCTGACTAGTCGGCGTGAAATGCATACAAAGTGGTGGGCTAGTGAGATTTATCGGCCGTATTGCTCGTGAGTTGATACGGCAACAACAGTTCCATTTCCTACGATACCAGCTAGAGCCAGCAGGTTCTTACAAAACCCACTTTCTAGCAACCTAAACAACGGGTCAAGACGAGACTGCGCAAGGCAGTAGAACCCCTGCATATCCTCAGGGGGCAACTTACGTCTAAATCTCAGCGTCTTGCAATATTTAACTCTATCCTGCATGTGTCTATATCCTACACTGCGCATGGCTGCAGGTGCACTACAAGCAGGCGAAATGTCATTTTGATGTAGTCATCTAGACTTCCCAAACAAAATTGGGCTGAGTCAAGATCTTGATCGAATGGTCGCACTTTTTTTATGACACGACTACGATGTTCATCGTTCGCTCCTTGTCATCTCGGATCCACTTTCGGCTACAGGTGGCATGGAATAGCCCACTTCGAACGCCACGTTCGTACTGTTGCCGTCTGTGTGACGATAGACGGAACTGGTGCACCCAATACATATCTACCGCAAATTCGCGCAACAGCTCTGAAGAAAAGAACGCACAATCATTAGTGCGCAAGTTGACATGTACGGAAATCAGTGTACATAAAGCGAAACGAGATGTGTGGGTCGCCCATTCCTTCATCGAAGTACCACGAACTACGCTGAGCGCGCAGAAGATACATTTAATGCGTCTAAGATCGGGTTTACCGTGACAAATTTGCCACTAAGCTCATGTGATGACTGCAAAAGTGCGATCGACCGCTTAGCAGGATGCCTGAGGTACCAATGCGTGAGTCATTTGGTATCCTGATAAATGAGGAAACGTCGATTTTGAAAGCACCAACGTTTCAGGTTCCTGGATTGGAATATACAAGTTTTGCATTTTGTAGCCAAGGCATCGATGACGTTGCTCATCGGCGAAGACTTGCCCAACAATGGAGACCGTAGTCGATTTGTACATTATCACGTTCGTGTCGATCGACGGGCAAGACGGCGAAGGCGTAATATTTGTGGGGTACTTTGCAATTTTCGAGCCTGTCAATAGCTGAACTGGTGTGGGCTCGCAGTAATTCACCGAAACATGTGGAGATGTGATCACCCATAGGCTGCCGCGGATACGCATTATCCACGCTACTTTCAATACTCTTTTCATAGCTTTGTCGGGTCGTCAAAATCTGTTCCCTGGATGCGATAGGACCTGTCATGGTCCGCGAGAGGTAATAAATCCGTCGGCCCATGACAGGCCCTATCGCAAACGTCCATCCACGAGAGCAACCAAGTCTGTATCGGCTACGTCCCCCTCGTGCACGGTACAAAGTGGCTTCAAGTTTAGCACCATTTCTGTTGTACAAATTACATACAAACATACTGCGGTCACGCAAAGCCGAGACGTGCAATGCAACTTCGCTGGCGAAGAAAGATCGACACTTGATGATCCATGAGCGTGCACTGACGGCAACAAAACTTATCAAGCTCTTTCATATCTCCATTCTACTGCGATTCTACGTGTCTAACTCACCGCTTCGGCCACTTATCCTCAGGGCATTTGCAGCACGTGGCAAAAAGCGTGTATAATTGCTATTCACTGCACCACGTCACAAATGCAAACATCCCCCGTCAGCTCGTATTCTAATCAGTATGATGCAAATTCGATTGACGCTAGTCGATCCGAACGCCACATAACCACTTGACATGCATCTCGACTCCTCCGCAAGAAACATCGGTAGAGTGTATGAGAAATGGTACGACTCGATGCCGACAAGTGTCCTTCGGCATCTTGAGGGTGACAAGATTCAACTGATCGCACTGCTATGCGAAGCGTTCCAAAGCGGTGAGCCCGAGTACCGGTATCCTGCGTCTAGTATCGGTGAAATTCGCATGAGCTCGTACGACCGATTCCAAAGCGAACAATCCTTCGTGCGAAAAGGATAGCCTTCCAAAATGAATAGACTTTCGAGCTAGACCTAAATTACGGTCTCACTTCACGCGATCGCATCCCCTAACGCTAACTCAATGCTTTGACACAGTCAACGCAAGTGGCTCCTGTCAATTGAGATGCAGGAGGTGTGGCGGTCCGTGGAGCTGCCCGCGCCGCTCGAGACGAATTCGCTGGTGCAGCAGAATCTGAGCACGCGGACGGAGCTGGAGGCGTGGGTGGAGGCGCAGAAGACGCGTCTCTTGGAGGAGAAGCGCGCCGACCAACTGCGGGCGCAGGAGCACGCGCGGGCGACGGACGAGGCGCAGCGCAGGCGCGAGATGCTGCAGATCGAGCACCAGAGACTGTCAACGGGTACAGCTCCGCACTCTGTTAGCTGATTGGCTTCTTTCGGCACTGACGTAATGGTGTAATGGTACGTCTGGTGATTCTGGTGTTGTTGACGCAGAGTGCCACACGAAGGAGAAGGAGGTGACTGCGAGTCAAGTGGAGATCGAGGCGCTGCAGGCCGAGAAGAGCAGGAGGGAGCCGGTGGTGAAACATTTGCTGGCCAAGATGGTGGAAGAAGACGCCAAGCTCAAGCAGCTACTGGCAGAGTCGCAAAAGCAGAGGACGACGCTGAAGCAGCAGCTACATGATCTTAAGCAGGGGCTCGCCATGTATCAGAAACTGGGACTCGTCTTTGAGCACTCGGAAGGTCAGTAAACAGTGTTGCTGACGGCACCCAAGACGAGAGTCGGACTAACGTGCGATGGTGCTGCTGTTGCTGCTGCTGCGTAGTGAATCGCATTGTCATCCGGTTCACTCAGATTGACGCACAGGACCCCAGTCGCGAGTTTTCGTTTCGCATCACGATCAACCCCATCACGGATCGATACATTGGTGCGTCTTCTGTTGTGCAAACGAAGTTGTGAAGTGTGTTGCGGTAATGCTAACCTGTTCTTGTACATGCGCTCTGTCTAGTCGATAACTGCAACGAAGAAGTCGCGGCGCTGGACGAATTGGTCACGAATCTGAACGAGTCTGGTGACTTGGCGCGCTTTGTCCGCTCCATGCGCCGACAGTTCAAGCAGCTCGTGTAGCATCGACTTTCAACCTGTTTATATACGACGCCGTTTCGTGTCCCGGTGCTGGTTTGTCATCGCAAGTGCGACTCGCTTCGACTGCAGATGCTGCGGTGTTGGCGGTCGTGACCCATCCAGTGTAGACTGCGGCGGAGGTCTAGAAGGCAGGTGTGGACCGATGAACTCAGCCTTGTCTTGAGCTACGATAGGCGGAAGAGGAGGTGGTAATGGTGGATTGCACGAATGCTGCCTCGCACCGTCGCGTAGCGCTGCTGTCGGTCTCCAATTTGCACTACGATTGCCACGACACAGAAGCAACTGCCGTCGCCGCGCTAGTTTGTCCATCGTGTCCTCGAGCGTCTCGAAGTGAGGCGCGTACGAGATCTGCAGTCGACTGCCGAAGAACAGCTTCTGGACGCCGCGCGCTTTCGCGTGTCGCGCATTGTTCACCGTCTCATATTGCACCCACACCGTATCCGCAAACTCGTCGTCGTCGTCGTTTTCCCTCGACCCCCAGTGCTGCTTGTCGGTCGTCTGCATGATCGAGCAGACGGTACTCGCAGACCTTTCCGTACAGACGGAGCCTCTGGAGCAGGTCTTCAATCACACCGAGCGCCGGGACATTGCGCACCACTACGTAGCGCGACTCGCTCGCCACTGTGAACACGCGCACACTGCGACTGTTCATGACGATTTCCAGCCACCCGTCAATCACATACTGGACGTCGCATTCTTTTGACAGCGGCGCACTTGACGGTCGAAAACACACACGCAAAAAAAGTCAACGCGATGTCTCTTGTACCGTGAAATTAATAGACGACAATGGCAAACGCAACGCAAGGCGACTTCAAATAACTTAACGAGCATACCGGTTGTCGTACTCGTCTGCGTCCTCGCCCTTCGCTCGCACACCCGTTGCTACTACTACTCCCAGCACGGCACCCATCACTCTCCACAGTCGACAACAACGCCGTTACCCGAAGTGTCTCTGTCTGCACAGCGTCGCGACACCGAACTTCAACTACTGCCGCGATACCGACTCGGAGCGGTCGACGACTGCAACGGGGCTGTAGCACTATTGCGATAGGTGGAGCTGAAAGAGTTGGGCGGACAATGCACCGCACCACGGGTGTTCACGCGGGCTTGAGATGTGCTCAGTACCGCAACGTTCGCGCGTTCGTCGTTGCAGGCGCGACCTTCGCCGTCGTCTCCACTTGTACGTGTCGGCAACTGCACGCTCTCCCACTTCCCCCGTTCTTCGTCCTTTTTATCGACGCTGAGGTCTTGCATTGAACGTCGGATAGCTTCCAAAAGCATCAGCTCCTCCAGCCGTGCAGCGTCTGCAGACGTTGTCGCAACGCGGGACGCTGCGTCGTTCAGCGCGGCGATGCTGTTCGGGTGCGGACTGTTGGTCACAGGCTTGTCGCTGATACGAAGCTGCGAGCGAAGCGAGTCGCGAATGCGGTCGCGATCTTCCACTGACGCGTAGTGTACACCATGCGGGCTTGAAGTCTTAGTGTGCTTTGGTTCTGCGCGCTCGGGAATGCCAATCGCGCTGCTTCGACGCGGGGACCTCACGTTCTGCGTTGCATACAAAGAGTGAGGTAAACCAGTCCAGACCAACGTGAACATGAGAACCAGTGACCACACTTACCGGCACAGAGCGGATCGGGGTGACCTCTGTCGGCGACGGCGGCGTGTACTTGACAGCAAACGCTTCGTGATTGCAAAAGGGACAGCTAAATCGTTCACACAACCCACGCGTGAGTCAACAGCCATCAACTTCCAGTCCGTCAGGCTGCAAACTGTCGTCACGTACGAAATCGATTTGCGTGGCGGTCGGATCTGTAGATAGCACTCGGAGCAGATCGGTTTCTTGCAGCAGCTCGACGTGTTGAGGCTCCCGGGATAGAACTAGACAGCGCCACACAACAGGACATCGTCAGGTCAGTCCGCCACTCCCCTCGGACACTCTCCTCCTCCTTGTCGCTCCCTCACCATAAAGCAGATGGGGCACTCGAGTGTGAACCCCTCGTCCTTCGTCTCTTTGCCGTGGAAACGTGGCGCCAGTTTGCGCTCGACGATCAGACGGCGCGCCGTCTTGAGCTCCCACGGACAGCTCGGGTACAGTCTACACAACAACACAGTCAGTGAGTGGGGAGGGAAAGAGGGTACGCGACCGGGTACGCAGACCGTACCCCGTGGGCTTCGTGTACTTCTCGAGCTCGCGCGTTGCCGCCGAGTGGCGTCGGCCGCTCTTCTTCGACGTCACGTTGCCCATGACCGCTCTCTCTGCGTCGCTTCTCTTTGCCAAATGAACCCGAGCGACGACGACGGATTTGACGCGCTCCAGTCTGACAGTTGCGTACTATCAACCAGTTCGAGTCCACCAATCTCGTCGCGGCGGGATCACGTCTGCGCGGTTATGCGATGCTGCAGGTTCTTTCCAGCGTGATTGAAGTTTACGCGACCAGCTTGTCGCAGAGCGATTGTTTACTGCCATCCGCGGCGCCAGCACGCGAGCTGTCCGAAGGCTGCACACCAGCCGAACACCTGAGATCCTACGACCACGAATTATCCAATCGTTTCGACCTATCCGGTCTTTTTGTCCGCCGACCACGACGAAAGCACAGAGTGGACGAGAAAGATAGCGGCATCTCGGACACAGCTCGTTCGTTGATAATGAGGATGCATGATCACGGGGCAATCTCGAGTTCGTTTCGCTCGCCTCGCTCTTGATGAGGGTTCATCTGTCGTGACAAACTCATCGATCCACTTTCGACGATCGACGCGTATCGACAACAAATACGATCACGAGTGCAACTTACGTGGATGTCAGCGAACAAGCCGCGCTACTCCAAGTAGGTACCCCTAACTTGCAGAAACGAATCCGTAGCGAAGACCGGAGGCGCGGGGCGAGACTGCTTGTCAACAGCTCGAAAGGAGATCAGGTAGCACTTGGTACTTTCCCAATGTGCGAATAGTTGCGTTAGCTGCAGACCAAGAACATGCACGAATGAGTACGTGGAAGCCTTAGTCGCGCAAACGTCAGCAAGCTCATACATTGACTCTTCACCGGTCACCTTCTCACTCACCCATCACCTCGATAGGCTGTTGCGAAGAGTAGATCCAATGCATGTAGTGGCACTACGACCATTGCACGGCCACACGTCCATTGCGTCAGCATGTTATCCGTGCACGTGCTTCTGAACAATTGAACGTTTCTACCATGGCGGGATTGTTGACGCTGCAGAGACTGCACTATCTGTACATACAGCGGAATCTTGCAAGTCGAATATAGGACACCTCGGAAAGATGGAAACGACAAGGCGAGCGCACAAGTGCTTTAGCAGGTTGTTTGACGGCGTTGACGTTTGTATTACCGCTATTGGAGAAAAAATGACAGTGCCTCAGTTTAAGCAAAATTCTGACTGCTACGACCGTGATAGACGCTTTGATCGAAGAAGGAGCGATACGATCAGGGCATGAAAGTGAGGTCATGAGCTGGCGTAGTCTAGCGCAAGTAGGATCTCGTAGCGATAGATGGTATTCTTGAGTCATCTCACCACATTGATACAAAAGATCTGCTGCCTGGAAAACGACACTCCCTACTCGACAAAGCAACATCTTGAGCTGGACATTCAGCTGTCAATGGGGTTCAATGGGTCAACATCTGCTTATCTACGAGAGTGAGACTGCAGCATTGCTTCCAGCAAGAAGCGACTGACACTTGAGGCAGCGGTCAATGCAGTGTATGTACGTGACTGCATTCGGCAGCATCCATGTCACTATATCCTTCGACAAGGATTTGGACATGACTGACTGATGGGGCACCCTAGCAGCTGCAGCAAGTCTAATGATGTCTATGACATTCTTGCTCTGTGGTTTCAGCATAAAATCAAGTGGGTCAAGCTGTCGCGTCACGCCAAGTGACTATAACACGTTATAGTCACTTGGCGTGACGCGACAGCTTGAAAGTGACGTTGATGCCCTGCAGCAGCTTCAAAACTCAAGCTACAGCATTCTTTTGTGCCAAGAAGTCAATGAAGATGCGCCGTTCCGACCAGCTGCGTTTATCGACCTCGACGATCTTTCGCTGTGCACGTCTGTGCTCTTTCCACCTTCAACGACATTCTTTTACCACAGAAATCGTAGCGATTTGTGATCTTCCCTCTCTTCACGGGACACAGATGCATCGTTCTACCACTTTCTGCGCGTGGAAGCTGCCCCAGTGGGCACGAGCGTGCTCGAACGCTCTCGTGGTGGACAAACGAGCGGCCAAGCAGATGGCAAGTTCATTACAAACAGATGCCAGCTCTCTGCTCAACCTTTCTCCGCACCGTCCGAGCGCAGGAGCAAGCAGCTGTGCGCTCGATTGGTGACTAATGCTGGACACATCGACTACAGAAGAAGACGGTGACACATCCTGCATCTATCATCAGACGACGGCGTCGTGTAGAAGCTGCGCGCGAAAACAACTGCTCCAGCGCATCAGTGGCGATGTCAGGCTGACCTGAAGTTGCCCATCACGATGTGATACATGGTCTCAGCATCGAGTGGCCTTTTGTCGGGTCCGCCGCTTCTTCAAATCGCTCGGCGATAGTCACGACGACGCGTGTTACGCGTACAAGGATAATGCAGCATGTTCATGTGCTAACGGTGGGCATGCAGAGAGCAGTCGAGGCCTCGTCAGGGCCCTTAGTATCGTCGTCTAGAGGGAAGTAACGGCGGCGTCGCCGGGTCGTGCGTACCGCGCAAAGAGGCTGCGTGGTTGTGTGGGCACATAAATAAGACATGACGTGCGCTGTCGCGTGTTTATGTACATGTCGGAATGCATCAGAAAGGGCGAACGCAACCGAGCGGAAAGTCGAACGTAGCGACAGAGAATCGGTCGTGCGACGGGGGGACCTCCAGAAACGTATACCCTCTCGACTTCGCACGCCTCGTTTCTCCGCCCCATCCTGTCCCATTCATTCACCTGCATGATCCGACCCGTGGACAGGACAATGAGCACGGGCGCGTCCGATGCGCTGCCGCGCGCCTCGAGCAGCAGTTCCCTCAGCGAGCGCTCTCCGCTGCTGCGGGCGCTCGACCGAGGCGCCTCCTCGTCCTGCGAGGACTTCTACATGTCCGTGCCGGCCCTGCCGAGCGACAGCGGCTGCCTCTCGGACAGCGGCCAGTTCCAGCCGGTGGTCTTTGCCGAGAAGGCGCTGGCTACGCTGCTCGACGGCGTGCTGCTGTACGCATTGGGCTGCATCGTGGGCGTCGCGCTCGTGTCGCTCAACTTTGAGGGCGTGCTGGGCCCGCGCGTGAACTGGTGGCTGGTCTTTCTGCCGTTTTGGCTGGCGAATGGTGCGCTGCTGTACGCGCACGTGACGTCGACGCGTCACGCGGTCACGTTGCGCCGCTGGGCCGAAGTCGAGTCGATGTCAAATGAGCCGCTGCTACCGCTCCTTCGACGGATTGTGCTTGTGTACGCCATTAGTTTTCCTTTGACAGTGCTGTTGCTCTGGAGCGAATTGGCATTCTGCGCGAGTCTGCAGCACCACACGGCCACGAGTCTCTATGCCTGCTACGCGCCGCTGATGGTGATCCAAGTGGCCTTTGTGGTACGATACCTGCTCTGTCGATCGGACAGCACACTGCCGGTAAGTGGACACGAAGACTTCGCTGCTTTTTGTTGCTGCTGCTACTGCTGTAGCAGTCGCTGACGCACCGCTTTTTCTTTGTGTATGCGACAGGGAGTTTGCTGGGCACTGCTGTTTGTCTTTACGTTGCTGCTGGCGTACCAGACGGACATGCAGCGTCGGGTGGAGATACTAGAGATAGCACGACCACCCGTGTCGTGGTGGATTGTGTTTGCGCCATTTTTCGCCTTTGAGCTGCTCATGGCCGGGTCGTTGTTGCGTGTGCTGTACAACGAATTCTCAGGCATTTACCGGCTTACTCGCTGGCAGCTGGCAGCAAGTGGGCTCTATACGCTGGCGCTAGTAACAGGCACCAGTGGCGAGCTCATGCTGCTGAAGCAAGTGGATTACCACTGGGGGACCTTCACTCTTCCGTCTGGCATGATGTTTGTCGGACTCGTATGTGCATGTGTGGCCATGTACATTGTAGGTCGCCATCATGTGGAAGAGCTCATGGCCTCTAAGGGCGGTGCGGTTCCTGTACCGTTAACGCGGACAGCGGATGGCTGGATCACTAGTCATGCTATCGTGGAGCAGTGGGTGCTTTTGGGAGATATCACCCTGACTCCGCAGGGACTACGAGTCCGCAACCGAAAGACGAGAAGTAATCTGGGTGCGGAGTCGGAAGCAGCAGGTAGCCACATCCTGCGGCAAATGAAAGGTCTTTTGACCCGGGCCACATCGGAAGAAAACATCGGTGACAATGACCCGGAGCGCCGCATTTGTAAGGTGCTGCGAAAGACTTCCGGCAGCTACAGTGACATCACGGTGGAGATTGTCGATACACCAAAGACAGCCAATGTTTTATCTCTTGGCCGCTTAGGCGTTTAAACTGCATTCAGGCAAAACAGTAGGGGCAACCCTGGCATGTCAGCGTCATTGATAGTGTACCATCACTGGAACGAAAAGTAAAGACGAGATGAGCGGCGATGTACACGAGAAGCAATGAGACTGTTTGTGCGAAGTCCACGGACGTAAGGTCTCGGATTGCAGCCCGGCCAGCACTAAAATGAAGTATGTGCTGAACTAGGTCAGAGCTGCCTCGATGGACACATCCACGACCGTCACTGGAGTACATGGCTAGAACAGCAAGGCAACTGTTCCATATGTACCCAAACGCGGTGCTAACCTTCATGTGTGTGTCCACAGCTCATAGCTTTGTCCAGTCCGACGTTATGCCGAATCACATGGTGTAAAAACGACTAGCAAATGACGAGCTGAGTGCAGTAATGGTCGCATCCTTGCTGTAAAATAGTTTGGACAGCCGTCGCAGCAGCAGTGTCGAAGCCACGAGTAGATCACTGAGTACGTGATGATCTCAATATGTGTCTTGTTTACATATATACTTGCAGCTTCAGATACAGATATCAGCTTGGACCAGATCGACGATAGCAACCGAAACAGCACGGCGTTCAAGACTAGACAATGTAAAGTTGTAAAACCAGTGTTTCATTTCTCGCACAACCGCACATTTAGACAGACTGAGATTGACGGATGGCATGAGGGGCTACGCCGCATTGTCTGTCGGATCCTTCGACGGAACATGCATGAGATCTTACAAAATCTCAGCTGATCAAAACGACATGACAGTGACAAATCGAAACCAAAATATAGCACCTGTGTACGTACACTCGTTTGTAACCGAGTCCGCACATCGTATTGACATCTGGATCGATGTAACGGGGACACGAGGAAGGACGGACGACTGGAGAACCTCCTCGATGCGAGTATATCAGATTGACTGTCAAACACACGTGGGACTACTGTATCGGATAAAATTGCGTATTTGTATCGTTTGTAACGCCACTACTACCTCAACCATCTCGCTTGTCCTCGAAGGCGTCGTCGACCCAGTCACTCTCCCAAACACCGCCCCGTCATCACCTCTTCGTCACCGGTGCTTTCAGACAAGTCGACGAAGGTCTCTTCAGTATGCCGACCCTCTCCACCTTCCTTCGCCGTTTTCTTCGCAGTGACGGCATTCTCAACGAGCTTCGGTGCTCTTGTTCTCCTCTCCTTCGACTTCCTCCCCTCCTTCAGCCACACTTGCTGACTCACCCACCAGCGTTCCAAAAACTGGTATCGGAGTCAAAGCCTGTGTCTTTTTCAGACATCCCCTCTGGCAAGACCATGCGCAAAGCTGTAGTGGGGTCGTTTGTCTTGTTCGTGAACCTACTCTTCGGTGGGCAAAGCAGGAGTAGTGTTCTCCTCTTCTTCCTTCTCTTCATCGACACCCGCTGCTTCCGACGACTTGATGACTGACGATGGATCCGTTTTTTCCTCCTCTTTTTTCTTTTCCTCTTCCTCCTCCTCCTCCCCCTCGTCTACTTCTCCCTTCTTCTCCTCTTTATTTTGTTCTTTCTTCTTCTCCCCAACTTTTTGCTCACCTTCCTCGTTCTCCTCCTCCTCTTCCTCCTCTTCTTTGTTTTCTTGCTCTTCGGTGCTCTTCTCTTCTTCAGCGACCAGCTCGGTCAGACCACTGGTCGACACCGGCGTTACTGAGTTCCCCGTCGCCACAGACTCGTCCACCTCTTCTTCGGCGTCAGCTGCCGGAACCGGGTCCTCTTCGCCAGTCGTCATCAGCACTCTTCGAAGGTTGACACCCATATCGGCAGTCGCCGTTTGCATTGCGGCTTCAGCGCCCAAACTCGAGGGCAACGTCGCCGACAGAAGCAAGGCGAATAACGCGGCGTAAAAAGCTTGCATACTCGATAAGTGGCTAGATCCAGAATGGCCGAGTCGGTGCGGCAGCACAGGGTGACAGGTATCCCCGCACGCTCAACGACGACTCCGAGTTGGTCGAAATCGGTTGAGCGTATCCTGGATCGTTGTCAACTCGACCACAGTATTGTTTCACCGATAAATGAGGCTGTCGTCGGTTGACGACCGGGACAGGCTGTATAAAACGAGGCAGTTTCATTTCGTTGGCGCCGATAACAGCTTGCCCACAAAACCAAACGAAACTTTCTCGTGTTCATTCGTACAGCCTGTTCCTGCCGTGAAGAGAGGAGGCGTAAAGATATTCGTGACTCGCCCGCCTATCGCCCGTAACAACGAGTTGACCTTTCAGACCCGAATGGGAGCAAAAAGCCACGAGACAGACGCAACCGCCAAACACATGTTGGTGCAGACGAACGTCACAGTGACGCTGACTGTACTGCCACCAGACGAAAAGCTTGTTTGCAAATGCCCGTGTCGAGCGCTTTCCTTGCCTACGTTCGGCCATGAAGAGCACTCAGTGTTCCGTGATAAGTGCTCTATGATCAGGATTTGAAGCAAAAGAACGGGGTACAATGCATCGTTTGCCGATACCGTTGTCAACGAGCGTTGTCAGTGCCGGGCACGCATCCATCCGCTTCGATTCGAGTACAGCAATAACAAGTTGCCGCTTTGACTCGCGAATGGCTGTCTCAAATATTCTTGTACCTTGCTCAAGATCCAAGCGACCTGTGTGTCGTTTTCAACGTGCTCGGATCACGAAAGCGAGTAAACGATCGGCGACGCAACTTCTCACGATGGGTCTTCTTTGCATCGCATCAAGTAAACGATGATGCGGTACTTATAGTGGTAGCGGTGTCATATTTGGGTCAACTTGTGAGTAAACGTCGCGATGAGGAAGAGACGAGGAAGGGTGAGCATAGTATGAATGTCTTCGATAGATACAAAAGCTGGCGCCACGATTGATGCATGTGACCTTGTCTGGCAAGATGAGAATTGATCAGTTCAAGATGCGTTTTCACATAAACTGAGCCAAGATGGGCTCACCAATCCGCTGCGCAAGTTTGAATACAATTGCGTCTTTATATACGAGCAAGTAGCGTTGCCTGTTAGACATTTTGGCTCTTAAGGGCTTTCCGTTTTGTTGCGGAAGTGTACTTTCGATGCATCGGAGATCTTTTTTATGACATCCACAAAGGCATTGTTAGACGCGCAGATTAATACGTTTGTGGTGTTCCGTTCGATGAGGCGCACCTCATGTTGGAAGCCACATAATTTCCTTTGTCGAAGTTGTGTGGTGCGTCTGAGTGGAAGATGTATCTGCAATGAACTGTCCAAGGTACAGAAGGACTGTTGGGACACATGCAAAGATCTACGAGTGACAAGGACGACTCTTCAGAAACCATGGAACGATCTTCAAATAGGATGTATCTACCAGACTAACAACGCTAATATATATTCACTTTATCATTTCCAACCTGCGTTGCAGATCTTGTTTTCCTACACCTCACGACTTCAAGAAAGAATGTTAATCGACTTTAAAGACCCGCTAACCCCGTCTCGGTTGTGGAGCACCAGCTCAATGGCCTTGCACAGGTTTGAGCGTGCGATGCGGCGAGAGCTTTCGTCACCTAGATCAGCAGCCAAGGATTTTCGTCGTTGTAGATTCCGTCTTTTTCTTTGTAACTGGAAAATTCCGTTGCATTGCACTGATGTTCGGTCCAATGTCAATGGGAATACCATCGTAGCAGATTCTACTTTGCAACGTTACTTTCACAGACGATGTTATTGAGAATGTTGCCGTGTAGGTAGTGGTCGACAGCATTCGACGGTACCACGTTCGTTGACTGATACAGCCACAAAGTTGGCCGACAATTTTGCCAAATGGAAATAGGAGCGGACAGCGAGTGGTCAGCAGATCGTACACATATGTATCTTTTTTACGTGATCCTCATGGTTTTTTTCATACCATATGCATATTGACTCGACTGCCAAATATTTCACCTTCCATTTAACAAATTGCTGTTAATTGGATATTGTAAACTTTCTCAGTCTGAAAATGAAATGTTTGTAATGGAGCAAGCGCCTGGTCAACGAATAGTGTGTATAGCCATTATGTCACTATCCAAATGTATGACGTCCCGTTGCAACCTTGCCTTAGCAAAGTGTCGAGCAAGAATGACAGACCAACACCAACATGCTTTCCGTGAATTAAGGTTAGATAGTTGATTTTATTTCTACTACAAAGTATTATTGGTACCTATCACGAGTACGTTGATAAACGTACATAGGTAATTGTGTAAGCATCTAGGTCACTAAATGTGCCAGCCTATCACCAGTCCCATTGTTTTATTCATCCAAACGCGTAGGAACGTTGTGCGTGTTTTGTTTATGTCTTGTTCCACGTGCTTGCCCAGCTTTTACACTCCCACATTCTGTCTGTGACCTCGTCGAGTGATCTTATCGACTGCGAAATTAATATTATGACGCATGTAATGCGCAAGCCATTGATTACTATAATTCAGGCAAGGAGCTTTCGAATCGATGGGTAAAATTATGGCTCGGCTGGTAGGTGCATACCTTCTATTTCAATTTTAACATCCATTTAGGTGGGAGAGGTAGGCGTGTTTATTGAGTGTCGCTCTGTTCAGCTGCGTTGCGTCCATAAGTTTGCATTTATTTATCCATGTTTATGAGCTCCAACATAATGCAGATGTTGATAAAGCTTACCAAAGAATTTGCGAATCTCTTATTTTACCACACTGGTCAATGTAACCACGACATAATAAATCATCTATGTGCGCACCCACTGAATGCCTTTTCACGCCCATCCTTTTGCTGTTGTAATCATTAATGTATGATCAAATTCGTTCGACGCCGAATATAAGCGGTATTACAAAGTAGAAGCTCAATCATATGACAACCACTGTTTTGGAACAGTTAAATTACTTGTTATTATAATACTAATTGATTCTTTTGACATCTATATCTGTCTAAAACGGCTGGGGCGACATTCATACCAGTCGGTCGCTCACATGTCGTGTACAGCATTCCTTAAGAGCATCTTCGCATACGCCCTGGAAACGTCGCCTCAAATTGTTGAGATGCTCATT